CCCTGTCACCTATAATTCCTAACTATGTTCCTTTGCTGACAACAGAACAAATTTAAATTTATTTCCTTAGCCAATTTTTGCTTAATTTCAATCTGCTGGTTTTAATTTGAGATAATTTTTAGTTCTGCAGCAGTATGCTGAAATTTCCTTTTAAAATATTTTAAAGATATGGATGGAACACATATCCTCTATATTTTTTGATGAAGAGTGCCTTCTGCTCATTTTATGCCATAGAGCTGTCAGCAGCTTTTGAGTTTCTTGCTGATTTTGCAGATTATTTTTTTTCTGGGAGGATTTAAATGGCTTTAAATACAGGAGAATAAACCCCCAAGCTTATTAAGGTCTGACAACAAACTGTGTAATCCTGATGCATTGTTCTGTCAATCCCTTAATCTGAAAAAAAGTTCAGAACTTTTACAAAGCCTTTTTTACATTGCTAATTAAAGAAAATAAGATTTTTAAGCCTTTTTTGGATCATTTCTTATTGGCTCCTAATTGTTCATATTTATGATAATCATCATAGATTTCCACTCATAGTTTTCCAAGAGAAAGCAGGTTATAAAAGATCTGAATTTCTAATTTATGGCATCTTTTAAATTGTCTTACTGCATAAGGTAATTGATCTTTTGTGGTTGGGGTTTTTTACTTCTGCCTTCCTTCAAAATGTTTCTGAACATGTGTATGTGAATATGGCTGGCTGTCAGATTAAATCCTACTTTTATAAAGCATTTTGTAGATTTTATTGGCAGAGGTAACACCAAAGAGTAATTGAACTAGATTGAAGAAAAAATACTGTATTCTTGTTTGGTTTATCTCTGTGACAGCATTTGCTGCACTAGTTTCTATATCTCTAGATACAGCCCATTTTCTAATTCTATTTGGAAATTTAAGTGCAAAAACAGGAAGAGTATTTCCTTGTTTTAAATAAAGACATGCGATTTCCAGAGTTATTAAAATTAGCAAGAGGCAGGACCTGGTATTAAACCTGACTTTGTCATTAATTTTAACTGTAGTACAGATTAAATATACATCTAAGTAAGGTTCACAGCATTTAGTACCTTGCTAAGATGAAGTGAATGAGATAAAATTATACTGTGCACAGGGTGGATTTCACAGTTTTTCTATAGATTGTTTGGTTTGTTGCTTTTTTTTTTAATGGAACACTTCTTGCAACTGAGGTATTTCATTATGTTGTGGTTTTTGTTAGCTTCGGTAATATTTTCAGTCCATTTACACTGTTTGTGATCTTGATTCATATACAATTTACCTATCTTAAACAAGAATAATAGAACATAGTCTCAGATTTTTGTTTTCATATTTTACCATACAGTACAATTACCAGGCTCCAAAGTTTACAGGCTTGAAAATTGACTTAGGAAGACTTCTCAAACTAGAACACTTTTCTTCTATAATACATGATATGTAATTTTTTGAGCAATGCCTTTCAAACTACAGTGATTGAGAACATGCTCTTTTTTTTCCCACTGCGTGCAACTATCCTAAGGTGAGGGAATATATGAAGTAGGAGACCGTTTTTGTTCCTTCGTTGCAATTATGAGGTACAAAGTTCCTGCCATAATTTAGAATTTAGCAAAAGGTTTTACTGCACACACCTCTCCATGATATCTGGCTTGCCTTTACACCTTCTCACCTTATGTCTGTCTGCAACATGACAGCTGTTTGCAACAGCCTTCCCAATGATGAATTATTATTCCTTTATTTCATTTCTTACCCATTAAACTAAGCATCTCTGTGTCCTCGTTGTCAGCCTCAATCTGTTCTTTAGCTTATGATGAAGACAAAAAAGATAAGTTAGTGCTAAAGACATTGATGTAGTAGATTGTTAAATGATTTGTTATTATCAATTATGCTTCCGGTCACTGTGGTATTAAGTGTTTCCTTTGTTATTTCCAAGCATCTATGAATGGTAATGTCATTATCTATATACTAGGATAAGTATTATTACGGATATTTAATTGAGAGTTTTGCCAGCCAACATCTAGCTTTTGTAATGGTCCCATATGGGAATTGTGAACAAAAGCAAAATACTCAGTGGTTAGAATGTTTTAAACTAGAGTATTCAGTTTATTTCATAAATTATGTGGTTTTATGGAAATCAGAAAGGAATCTAGAAGCTGTTGGATGCTCTCTTTAAAGGGAGATTAATTTAAACATTAATTCAGAAAATTGTAAGTGAATGAGCACCAGTGTTAAAGAATATTATGAAAATGCTTTGTGTTTTAATAGTTGAGATGCTAGTTGAAAATGCAAAAAGGCTATGTAGATAAATTTTAAGTCATCCAGCTGCATCTTCTGAGGTCATAGAGGTAGTTTGTCCTCACATGAGAAGAATGAAAAGTCCTAAATTTAGTAAGTTACCTCTTTGAAGGTAAAATTGATCTGCTGATTAACTCATTTGCCTCTTCAGATAAAGCTTTTCATACTTTTTAAAAAAACTGATATCCCTGAAATGTGACAAATCAAGAGTTTTTTCAGTACAATGTAGAATTTATGAATACCAGTTATTTGTGGGTTTTGGAATTACTAGTATTTTGAGTGCTGTAACAAATCTTCATACTAGTATGCAATTTTTGCAAAGTTTTGGTGTGATGGAATATTCTCTGTATTTTTCAAGTACCAAGAGAAAGTGCAGTCAAGAGTGTTTCTTTGAAGAAGATGCATATTACAAAGTAAACACATTTGCAAAATCTAGAAGATTTGTATTTTTAATGAAAGTAAACTTTGCATTTCATTGTCACTTAAATGATTGATGCAGGCATATGATAACTTTTTTAAGGTGTTTGATTCTGTCAAGTTGAAAAATTTCCACCCACTGTAATAGGTGCTACTTGTTTATAAGTGCTGTCGTACCATTTTGAGGGGGGGGAATTTTTTGGAAGTTGAAGAATGAAGGTAAAAGACTGAAATGAAAATGTCCTGAAGATACTTTGAAACCACTTAATGGAATAGTTGCAGATTTGGAGACATAATTCTACTGTGTGATGACAGCAATTGTGCACATTATCTCTAAGAAGTATTTTCTTTGCAGTGGTTCTTTATGGAGAATAAAGATTCATTTTATTACGGCTCCTGACTTTAGACTTGCAAAAAATAGAAATGTCTTTCTTTGAGCCGTGCACTGTGCTAAATAAGCTTCTGCCCTGATCAGTGCTGTAGCAATATTCTGTTGATATTCTTCTAGCATCTTTTAGGCAACTCTCTGTTTCTGTGGTTTCAAAATCTAAATCTTAACCTATTATGCTAGTAGCTGTATGGCCCATCATAGAAAAGAAAGTTACTTATCTTTCTGCTTGGAGAAGTTTGAAATAACTATTACATTCAAACTACGTGAAACATGGCACCAGATTTGCCTGATATTTGTAGGATACTTCACATAGTTTGAAATAACTGTTATAATTTTTATGTGCTTTGTTTTACCAAAATTTTAATCCTAAGAAGAAATAAATTTATTTTCTTTTTTTAAAAAAAGTTTTATGTGAAGCTGCAGGTGTTTTCTGTTGAATTATGTCATTTGAAAATATTTAAAAATAAATATTTGTTTCATTACAGATGGCGGAGTTTGACACCGGTTGGACAGCCTATACCAGGAACTAGATTTATTGCATTCAAAGTACCTTTAAAAGGGGTATGTATGAAAGGTAGCTCAGATTGGCTCTATTAGATACCATGCAAAAGTAATGAAGAATAGCGTGAATATTCATGCAAATTTCAGAAACTTTAAAAAAAAAAAAATTATTCAGATGTAGCCCTTCCAGTCATCTCTTAGTGGCTTTTTTTGCATAATATTCTATGGTTTTGTCTTTCTTTTAAAATTCAGATTTTGTGTTACTCTTTTTGTTTATCTTTATAAAATCATAAAATCTCTAATCAATCAGCACAATTCATTTGATTACTACTAAGTGGCCTAAATTCATTATCATCTTTAACGTCTTTTCATGACTGTTGTGAGAAAATCATATGGAAGGGGTTAGCATATGAGTGACAATCTAGGCAATGTAGGCCAAAATATAATTTTATGGGCATCGGGCTCTCATTAAAGGATGCCAGCCGCTGCATACTTGTAAAAGTATAGATTCAGATTACCAATTTCATAAGCAAAAAGCTTCAGTGATCTGAAGGAATGCAGTATATTTAAAAAAGGAGTCTTCATAGATTACTTTTGTTAGTGTGTTAGTACTTACTTTAGATTATTACTAACAGGGAGTGCCATCTTAATCTATTAAATACACTGAGTCAGATCTTTCAGTTCTTTGTGACAAAACAGAACTTGGAGGCTGTCTTTTTCACACTCCTCAGTTCTTTGGTGGATTGAGGCATAGAGCAAATTAGGGCAAAGAGAGTGGATTTGCCCTTCTGTATAAATTAACACAAGTCCTTGCTTCAGATACACAGGAAATAAGTTTCTAAGTTCTTTTAAAGTTCAGTTGCTAGACATAACCATAGCAGTTAAGAGTAAATATTCTGCCTAAGCTGTTGTCTTCAGATTGCACTCTAGTATTCATACACAAAAAAATTGATTCTTTGGGTATATTAGTGCCCATTATGTTTTCAGTCACCATTCAGTTCACTTTTATCAGCAATAACTGAAGTGGAATGCTTGCAAGGTTTGCTTCCTGCAGCTGCTTTTACAGCTTTGGTATGATGGTTTGGTTCCTTTGACACCAAGGATCTCATACTTGACATTGGTCATGTTTTCCATGGTACTGATGGATTGTACAACTATCAAGACCACCAATGAACAGATCTAGCAGTGAATATAAAATCCAGTACATTTATAATTAGCTTATTTGCTATTGGGGTATTTGAGAGAGGATTTTTTTCATTGTCAGCTCCTGTAATTCCACTTGATCCAGCATCAATTTTTTTGCATAGATGCGCTGTTCTAGGCAGGATTTGTTCAGTGTGTATATTTCCAGGTCCCTGTCACTCCAGATTTCAGAGGAAGATACTTCATTGCTAACTTTACTCTTCCCCTGTAGCTCCTGTGATAGTCTGGAAGGAGCTCCACCAGAGATCATAAAAAGGGCAGACATTATCAGGGTACGTTTATAGCCATATATCACAAGTAGGCACTCTACGTCAGTGTGTTGCTCACTTCCAGTCTTATTGATCTCGCTGGGGTGTAGATCCCTGTTCTGTGAAGCTGTCTTTGAACATTGCCAGATACAAAGTCTGGTACCCGAGAAAGCAAAACCTGTAATAATTCTGTCCCTTCAGTTTGTTCAGTCTCAACTGTGCAAGATACAGAAATCACAAGTCTGCCAGAGACTGCGCTTGAAGCTTGTGGAGTGTGTGGCAGAACACACATAAAATGCATAACTGGCTAAACTGTGATGTCTTTGCAAAGATGGTGGAGGTCAGTAAATCTGTCCAGAAATGCTGAAGACCTGATTGGTCATAGTCTGTCAGAAGTCCTATTATTAAACTGGTAGAACAGACCTCTTAAATATACAGCAGTTTCCTTCTTTGCTACCTATTAGGAAATTGATGATTGGTGATTTCAACCTAAAGGATAAAACATATTTTCAGTATTTCATGACTGAAGAGTTACTGTTTTAGCAGAGGATGTGCTGCTAGTAAAGGCTTTAAGATCATGGGTTTACTCGGAAGGATTTTCTGATGTTCCTTTCAGATTATCATTGTAATGCTAATGGTAACATTGTAATATAGTAAGGAGTGGGCACGTTCTTTCCCATGTCATTAGAAGGATTTTTAGAATTGATACAAAGTCTCATATTCTCAAAGCCCAATTAAACACCTAAACTACTCAATACTCATCAGTTTTTCAGAAAATTCCAAATAGCCTTTCAAAACATTGTCTTTCATAACACATGTAACAGTTTACTCAGTCAAGCAATATGTTTAGAGATACTTTGTTTTTGAAAATTGTATTCAACCTCAGTTTGTGTGACTACTCTAGGTGGTCCTGCTTTGGCAGAGGAGTTGGACTAGATACTCTTTCGAGGTCCCTTCCAACCCCTAACATTCTGTGGTTCTGTGACTTCACATAGTAAAAGGAAAAATTCTTTAACATTCTACGATAGACATTTTGCAGATTCGCTGTTGTCACCTCAAAGTTAGTAAGTTCAGTTTCAGACTTCTAGTCACTGCTGAATAACAGTAAGATAACTGGCTCGTGTCCATTTTGTTTGAACCTCAACAACCTCCACTGTTTTTTCAGCAGTGCAGCAGTATCTGAAATACATAGGACTGAATACTTCTATGTGCTTTCTACCCTTCTCTTTAACTCAAGCTTCCTAATCACATACCAGCTTTTACAGGGCTGTCCTGCTGTTTATTCTTTAATTTGGTTTCCTGTCTCTGTTTCCAGGCTCGAGATAAGTGCTTGGTAGCATCTTAGATTATAATCTGTACAGTCAAAAGAAGGAATGGTTAGTTACCTTATAGCATCTGTGGTTCTAAGAGGTATGTGGTCTGTGGCTGCCTTCCTTTCCATTAGTTCTGAGTCCAGTCTGCTTGAATTTCTTGTTGACAAAGGAACTGGTTGAGGCTGCTGCATCTTTTGCCCCTGTCTTTATTGGTTGTGGCTGAGCCTGTGTCAAAAGGCTCCCGCAATGGACAAGCGCACTATTCAGAGAAAATCCAGTCTTGCGTATATGTGGCATTTTCATACCTAGAATGAAGAACACATTTCAAAAAACACAGCTACAATAGGGTGAGTAAACATTTTTCCCACTGTTTCTGTCAAATGAAATTAATTATTCATTACCCACCAACATGCAGATTTCTTATAGTCTTTAATGTTTTCCAGTGCTAAAGGGCATGCAAGTACCCTCTGCCAATAGATACAGGGATGAAAATGTTTGTACAACATTTGCGGGGAGAAAGTTAAAACCTTTAGAAGAAATGAACTCTTGTATCACAACTTCTAATGTTTTATGTGAAACAGACTGTTAATTTTGTGTTACTGTGCAGGACAAAGTATGTTTGGGGGGAAAGTGGTGTTTTGCTTTTGATGATGTTTAGTTACTTTAGAATCAGTATATACATGCTGCATTTTGCAGGATTTTTGTGTCTATCAAATTAGTGCTTATTTTAATAATGTTTGTTAACATTCTACAAGTGGAAATTCTCACATATTTTCTTGCATTTTCATATGAATAAGAATACACAACAAATTCTTGCTTTCTTTTTGTTTGGTTCCTTTATCCCTATAATACATGGATATGGTTCTGATGCTGTAAACATTCCCTTTTGAATACTGATGTTTCCTAGTCCTAATTAAACAGCTGAATATTACAAATGTCTTGGTATTAGAACTTAAAAAGAAAATCTTTCTTTCCCATTTTCATTGTAGGCAATTAACCAGAGGCTTACCCCAACCCAGAAGTTTACACCAAAAGACTTAATTGCTGCAATGAAAGCCCTAAATGTGGAGCTTGGATTAATTATTGATTTAACATATACCACACGATACTATGAAGTTAAGGTAATATAAGCATGATAACAAAATAAGAAAGTTACTGCCACCTTTGTTTTAAAGTATTTACACATTTACTTACCTTGAATTTGAATAGACAAGTGAGCCATCTAGACTTATTTTCTGTCTCCAGTAGAAACTAGATGTTTCTAGTTTCACAGAGGAAATAACTCTTCCTCCCAATAGTGGCTTATTTATGTGGGTAATGGATAAAGGCTGAAGTGCGAGGCACTGCAGAAAAGATGCAGAAGATTTACCATCTGTGTCCTGAAGACATTCTCATTTATTCCTAGAGTCTTTTATTACTGATCTTCAGTGGAATGCACTAAGAAAGAGTATGTTTTTATACTTTATCAATTTCAGATTTTTTACCATTATGGTCCAAACAATTGTGATTAATCAGCCTCCTATTGAAAAGGAGAACAAATAGCAGTGTTATAACAAAATGTTATCTTTCAATGTACATGGGCTGTAAGCACTAAGGTGGTGAATATGTGAGTCTATAAATCATTGTGGGTGGGAGGGACAAATAGTGCTAATTGTAAAATGGGTTAGAATGGAGTTACAAGAATCTGCTGTCTTTAGTTAGTTGCTGCCTTATTAGCAGAGATAAATAAGTTTTCTGTAGAAGCTGTTCTTTAAAGGTGGGAAAAAAGTGGTCTTTAAAGTGGAAGTGTAAATGGTAATTTCTGAGAGTGTATATAGAATTGTGTGAAGATTGTTTTCATTTTCTACTTGAGATTTGAACTACCATTTTACATTGGCATTGTGTTAGATACTGCTTAGGGTCTTTCACTGATGCAAGACTTCAATAATTTTTACTTCTTTTTTTTCTTCTTGTTGCTAGGATTTACCTAAAAGTGTGCAGTATAAGAAGCTTTATACTGTTGGACTTGAAGTCCCCGATAATGCTACTATCCTGCAGTTCAAAAAATGGGTCAGAAAATTCCTATGGGAAAATGCAGGAAATGGTAAATATCAGCATATGCTGTAAAAAACCAAAAAATTTATTTCAGTGCTAATTGTGTCATTTACTAATTTCAGTAGATATTTACGACAGCAGGGATCTCTGCCTTTCTGTAGCACTTTCCACTTGATTATCATAGTAAGATACCTTATGTGAACCACTACATATCTTCTTTGTATTCAAAACATATCTTTTTCAAAAGTGACTGTTAACTTAAATGCCCTTCCTAATAGTAGTATACATATATTTGTGTTATGTGTCAAAGTAACTGCAACAACTGTCTGACCCAAGTTGTCTACCATCAGCTTAGTGTTGTAGCTGCCAGCCCTTTATGGATGTTCTAAATAGCACAGGGTTTCTCTGATGGCACTAGGCACTGGTACCTGTGAGCAATTGGAGTCCATTTAGTCTGATGTAGCAGTTTTTTGATTTACAAGTCCATTATTGCCCTCATATCCTGGCAGTTCTTAAAAATCGTATTACAGACAGTGTCAGTGTTTCCACAGTGTAGCTCTGCTGCTTTTTTAGTGTTTATGCTATAGTACAGTTCTTGCTGAGATAGCATAAGGCGCTTTTTGCGTAAATAAATTTGTGTGTATTTTGCCACGGCCTGTTTGCGGCTTTTACCTTCTCTCTGTTTTTGCTAGTGATTTTTTGTAGGCAGATTTTAACTGTTTGTCTATCCAATATTGGAGAACTATTCTTTCAAGCTTTTTCATGCTATTTGCTGTGGTTACTTTGGATTTTCCGTGAGATAGTAGAGATATTAACTGCCCAAGTGCATAGTTTTTGCTGAAGAGCATAACTGTGGTTTTGCTGTGGATGGTCAACTCTGTCTTGTGAAAGAGCTCTGGCCTAAGTCTCAGGTATGAGAGCCTGCATTAGAAGTGCTGGGAAAACTAAAAGGTATAAGAAGAAGCCTTTGTCCTTTCTCAGGAAGTTCTTCCTTTGCTCATTTTTGGCTTAGGGAAATTACTTGGAAATTACTAATTTTCTTCTCATTTTGATCTAGTGATTTTTCATGTGACAGAGAACAGTCTGTATTTTAATCTAATTATTTCTGATTCTCAGAATTGAGAGAATCAATTCCTAATTTGTTACTGGATGAAGACCTGCAGTTCCAGCTAGTTAAGACTGTTTTGGTGGGGCTTATGTAACTTTGGAGTTTGGAGAACTTTTATTTTTATATTAACTTACTCATTGTAACTTGCTCTCCATTTTAGATTACCCCTAAAATTTCTCAGGATTCTTCTTACAAATAATTCTTGAGAAGTTGGGGGTTTTTTAGGGTCTGAATTGTTAGGACACCAACTTATAATAGACTTATATGGCAATACTACTGTCCTGTTCTGTGGCAAACATTTATATTTTATCTCATTCAAAAACTTATCAAAGTCCCATTTCAAAGACTGTCTGTCAGTTCTTTGTCTCTGCCACAACTTTGTTCTTCTGATGATTAAAGTTTTTCTTCTAAAATCTGGCCTAAAACTCTCAATCAGTTAATATACATTTATTCTAATGCCAACTTTGTTCTCCATCCCTGTTACATTTGCTATTTCAGATTTGGTTTTACAGTCTAAATAAGACAAGCTTCCTAAGTCCCTTCTCACAAGCTTCTTTTGTGATCATCATAGTAGCCCTTTCTATATATATTTCAATTTTTTTTTTTTTTCCCATTAAATAATGGTAAGTAGAATTGTATGGGATAGTCTGGATGAGGTTTTATCAGTGCCTTTCATGACCATATTAGTGTTTCCCTATTTCTGTTGGAAATACTTCATTTGAAACATCCTAGTAATAGTAAATAATTATGCTTCTTAGCCCTTAGCTGACACTCGGGGCATTATGTGGATTTTCTCCTTTTTGTAAGTTTTACAAGAATCTGTAAGTTAAGTTCCTCAATTTTTACATTTGCTTGTTTAGATTTGCTTTCAAAACTGTATTTTATTCTTTTCTTCTGTTACTGCAGTTGTGGCTGAGGCCAGCGGCTTTACCTGTCATCACTCTTTTTTCCCTACGTTCTGTAGAGTTAATCTCAGTCTTTACAGGTTTGGAAGTAGTGGGCTAACTGCTGTTACAGATCCAGCATGAAGAGGTCAAAGTCTGGATGTGTCTGTTCTTTTAGAGGCGTGACAGTATAATTTTGTAAATAGCAAGCATTATTTATCATTACTGTGCTAGAAAAGTACAGCTTTTTTTTTGTCTTGCACTAATTTTTTACTAATTTCACTTTCTGAACTATTAAAGACTGTGTTTTCCTTTTTGATAGAGAAACTCATTGGCGTTCACTGTACTAATGGAATTAATAGAACTGGCTACCTTATATGTAGGTAAGGGTTGTATAAAAAGAGAAATCATTGTTCACAAAAGATAGCATCCTTATATTAATCTGTAATCCTTTTGGGACAATAATATAATTATATTTTTCTTCAGATATCTTATAGATGTTGAAGGCTGGGATCCAGAGGCAGCAATCCAAGGTATTTATACAGTTTGAACTAAGGCACATGTTGTGTTGTAATTCACAATTACTACAATTGTATTCACAAATACTAGTTTAGAGTTACTTCATGTGCTGGCTTCCATAGAAGGTTTTATCTGACTGTTGATTCTATTCCAGGCAAGACTTGAGCATTAGCAACTTGACAGCATAGTAGGAAGGTGTTTTGGCTACTTAAAATCTTTTTTCTTCCTTTTGCTTTGAAGGGTTTTCAGTCATGGGTTGCTACCACTAGTTTCAATTGTTTTTAAAAAAAATGCTGCAATGATGCCAGCTTGCTGAAGTATTTAATATCAAGTTAGAATTGTTTCAAATTCAGCATTTCATGGTGAACAGAAACTTGCCTGTCACATTTTTAGGGCTCAGTCTGAGCACATTTCATTAGACTTGTATCTTTTTTTCTCTGTAGCTTTTGGTGATGCTAGAGGTCATCGCATGGATGGTCTCGTGTATCTCACAGATCTCAGAACACAACCAATGAGAAGGTAGAGAAAAGCTTTTAGTTGTATGCTTAAGATTTTCCAGTATGTCTGCTGGTATTTTTAAAAGTTCACTTCCAGTCATAAGCCAAAATTAACTCCCTCTTAAACCTTTAATATGCAACTACACATAACATTGTAAGACTTTTGATATGAATAACATGAAGTGCAGTGTACTTCGTTCATCTTTTGAATTTATATGGTTCAAAAGATTTTTTTAATCTAACAACTACTATTAAACATCAGTGTGGTTTTATCATACTGTGACAAGAGTATTGAGTCTGTATTCTCTCTTTATAAGCTGAAAGGAGCCGCTGCAAAGAGATCTTTATAAGCTCTATAGTTTACCTGCTGTTGTTGGCATGGTAGGACCAGATATTTTAAAAAAAAGAAAGTAGAACAGTTTTAGGAATAAAAAAGTATGGGAAAGTGGAAGATTTTTCTCAGCTCCTCTTGTTCATATTAGTTGTATCCCTCGTGTATAAGGATTTTATGCTTATCATATTCACCTAAGAATAGCTAACCTTTAGATCTTCCAAGTTATTTGTGCCAATGATACCCTGTAGTAGTAAATTGATTTTAAAATTAATGCGCAACTGATTTGTGTCTTTTTAGTTTAATTGAATGTCCTTTGGTTTACTGCTATTGTTGTTTTATACTCTGCATGATTAAGTTAGTCCTGTGTCAGATTTTTGAGTAAGTATGGTGCTTGTCTCACATCCTTTAGGACACCGGTCCGAGCTTATGATGTTTAGGTTCTCATTACTTTCCCTGCAGCCCTTCCCCAAATAAACTTACAAGATTAAAATTTGCTGTATGTCTGTAAATTTAACTTAACATACAAAAATTTCTGTTATTCTGAACTGAACAATTTTATGTGGTTTTTAGTTTTTTCCCCTCTCAATAATATGTTTTTAAAAAGGAAGCTTATGTGAGATGTTTTTATTCTTCTTAGTAACCTTGGAATGGATGTATGGGATTCAGATGAAGATATTATTCCTCCACCACATGCAATGGAAGGACCTGTAGAGC